TGAGAAGAACCAAATAAATGTTCTTAGTTCTTGTTGGCAATGATACATTGAGAGTGACAGGTTATTGTGACGCCAACTTCCAAACAGATAGAGAAAACTTTTGTTCGCAGTCTGGCTGGGTGTTCCTACTAAATGGTGGAGCAGTGGCATTGAAGAGTTTCAAGCTGAAAACGATGACTGATTCTACTTGTGAATTAGAGTACATAGCAAAGAGTTAAGCGTCAAAGGAAGCAGCTTGGTTGAAGAACTTCATCGGGGATCTTGGAGTTGTTCCGACTATTGAGTAACCAATGGAGCTCTTTTGTGATAACGAAGGCGTGGTTTCTTTAACAAATGAACTAAAAGATCTTGGAAGGCCCAAGCACATTGACAGGAAATATCATTACAACAGACATAGAGTAGAAGATGGGCATCTCATAGTGAAACGAGTGTCATCAGAAGATAATCCTACAGATCCTTTTTGAAAGGTTCTGAGTAAGACTAAGCACATCCAGCATGCTAGGAGCATTGGTTTAAGAGACAACATTAGTTTTAGTAATTAATTGATAAATTGAAACTTTGTAACAAAATAAATTGTAATTGTTTTTGGTGATTAAATAATGAAGATTTATTTAAGAGTATTTATACTACCTTCTTCGATTATTTATTATTATGTTTCATTTTGCATGTTTTACTTCCTGAATAATTTTGTTATTATTCGAATTCCACAGTCGTTCATACTTTTGGAAGTAAGTATTGAATCAAGACTGTCATGAATCTTTTGTAGACTGTCTATGGATATTAGACATTGCATGGGGATAGCTACAATATTCATGAGTACTTAGAAAATGGGGATTTTAAGTATCAGATAAACCCACGCTATGAGATTATTTTATGGATTTTATCACGAGTAATTCTAAGACGATAATATCTACTATTCTTAAAGCAGAGATATATACTTCGTAGTTTGCGGATCAGTTATGCATTGTTTTACCCAAACGCGTCTCGTAACTGGATGTTAGAAAGAGTAATTCCATGCATGATTTGTCGAGTAAAGGGTATGATTGTATAGTCAAAGTAATGCGTTCCTTTTTCCCTAACAAGAAAAGAAATATATTTAGCCCCCCCGGTGATTTGATGTTGACTTTATAGTGTTGGGCCCAACTGATACTAGATTGATGTGTTCAACTGGTAATCTGATGACGTCGTCATAAATTAGGAAATTGGGAAACAAAATCTTGGACAATGAGATTGATTATAATCCATGTCTCGTTTCCATGTGATATCATGAAGAACGAAGGAATAGTTGATCACTTATATCAGGACTACCGTCTGATTTGATTCAGAGTTTGGTCATGGCTTTGAAAAGCACTCTTTACTATTTGGTTCAGGGTTATACTAACAATTGTAGTTATATACTTATCCAAGTGAGAGACTGTTGGATTAAAGTGTCAAAGCTCATAACTAAATTGGTATAAACTTGTAATTAGAAGCAAAATCCTTTTGGGTTGCCCTCATAATTTTGGTTCTTGTTTTCTAAAGATCTACAAACAATGAATCAAGGAATTGTTTGCAATAACAATTCAAAGGTATGTAACCCTGAACCTAATAATTTCGATTATAGTACGGTTCTTCTAGGTTTCATAGATGATAGTTCATATTATGTTGCCTTTAATGTGAAGACATAGATCCTAATAGGTTGGATGTACCCTTAATTGTTAAGTGTTATTTTTCTGCATTGTACATGATTTTCGTAACCTATAAAACCCTACACCTTGAGCCTTAGGTCGGCCTAGAACCTTGATGGGTTCGACCTTGATCCTTGGCTTAGCTTTTGGGTTCAACCAATATTCTTGGTTTCGACCCTTTGTTTGACCTTGGCTATAACTAAGATTCTTGGTTCAACCCTTAGGTTGAACCAAATGTCTTGGTTTCATCCCTTGGGACCAACTAAGATTCTTTGGTTTGGCCATTGGATTCAACCAAGAATTTTGGGTTTTTCCCTTTAGGTTTAACCCAATGGTTGGGTTTGACCAAGCAAAATTATTGGTTTGACCCTTGTTTGAGTTTTTAACTTCAAACATCAACCATTTGCCTTCCATCTTCAACCTTCAAATGTTTTTAAACTTCAAGTGTTTAACGAGTGTGATCTTTAAAAATCTCCAACCAATAATTTTTATGTGCATAAATCACAATCACACAAGAATATTATCAGCAATATGTTCATAAAAACTAATGAGCAAAGAAGAATAAAAACTTTTCTAATAACAAACTTTTCACAAGATTGATAAACCTCAATAGATCCAAATTCTTCAAATGACTTGATAATACATAATAACACATCTAATCAAAAGATATCATTCATATATATAACAAGATCCAACAATAATAAGTAAAACAATAAACACTATAGACAAACACACCGAGATTTACATAGAAATGTCAAATCATGAAAAAGAAGAAAAAAAACCACTAGCGTAGGAGACCATCGAGAGATCTAGTAATGACAATAATGTTTACAATGCAAAGAAATACGAAAAATACAAGTGTATAGTGTTGAATGCGGAGTAAGTATTAGAGAAAATAAAACAGACGGTTTTCTAGGGTTGTAGAAATAAGTTCACACTCTCATAACTCAAAAGAACCAAAAAAAATGTTTCAACTTGTCAGGGTCGATGTTGTTTCATCAATAGCTCGTGAGGTTGAGTTCAAGTCGTCCGGATCCATCATTGTTGCCTCGTGATGCTTCCAAGTTGTTTCATATTGGCCTCGTGAAAAATTAGTTCAGATCGCTTTATCATCAACTCCAAAAAATTGCCCCTGATAGCTACTGTTTTGACCATCTATAAATTTTGAGATCACTTTTCAACATATGTCATACCAGGTTGCATCATGTGGTTTTTCAACATATGTCATACTAGGTTGCATCATGTGGTAGGTGTGGGAAGCATCAAGGCTTGAGGTTGACCATAAAAAGAGGAAGGTTGTTCTCATTTCCTCCCATTTTCTTCTTTTGTCATTAAGTATCATTAAGCAGTCTATATCCCATACGAGTGTTTTTCCATGCTTCTCATGTTGAAGGCCTAGGAGAGAGGAGTGTCCCATATTTTCTAGTTGTTTCTCTACAACAATTTTAGGCTCATTACAATTATTTCTCACTCCCTTGTCTTATAGTGAGCGACTTCCTGGGTATACCGGAATATAATCATAACGTGTAAAGCACCTACCACTTTCTGATTCATAAAATCAAGAGAAATTAAATATCCTCCTACTCTTTATGCCTAATATTTTTCTATCTATTTTAGATGATGACAAGTGTCATTTAATTTAATTTAAATTTGAATGATATGTTAAATTTGTACACTTGTCATTATCTTAAGACAAAACTGCACAAATGGTCCCTGTGGTTAGCTGAAAATTGCGACTTTGGTCCAAAAAGGTTTGGACTAGCACCATAGGTCCAAACTTTTCATTTTGTTGCGAGTTTGGTCCAGTTTTCTATAAACTTTTTCATAATGACTATTTTACCCTTGGTACTTTCTTTTCCTATTTTATTTATTTATTTAAATGTTTTTTCTGATTAAAAGAAAAATAAAAAAGAACCTCTCTCTCTCTCTCACACACACACACACTTAATACTCAACAATCCAAACACCCCACCATCGATCAAAGCTGTTGTTTCCTCCCTCCGTCGTCCCCATCTCCGTTCACCTCCTTTCTCGTCGACGAGCATCAGAACGACACACGACAGGCAGTTGGGAACGCTGCCTGCCACCACCATCTTAACCCACCTCCTCCTTCGAATAACATAACCCCTCCATCACCGGTGTCGCCTCTCACTCTCTCCAATGGTTGTTCACAACCGAAGAAGAGGAAAGAAGAGCCAAAGCTGGCATCACCGCCTCCCGCTGCTGCTTTCGATCTGCTTCACCCTCCCCTGTTCTTCGTGTTTTCTGTTGGACAGAAGAGAGACAGCCAAGATCAATGATTGTTGCTGCTGCTTTTCTTCGATTAGGTCTTCGTCTTATCAAATTAAAATCGGGATCGTTGGCGATTTGAAACTACTTATCATGGATCTGGAAATTGGGTCTCGTCAAAATCATCAAGGGTAAGATCAATATGTTTATATGCTACAATTTGTTGATTTAGGGTTCTTCGAATACACCCATTTGAGTTTTTGTGTTGTTTTCTTCTTCTGATTTTTACAGAAATAGTCATGGAGGGCAGTTTTGAAATTGGCGTCGGACCTCCCTCCACTGCCGGCTTTTTCTCTCTTCTCTTGGTAAACAATCAACGAACAGAAGGAGAGATGGCGGTAGTGTTGTAACCTCGATAGTAGCTCATCTGATTTAGAAACCCTAAAATGAAGACATCTTTGTTTGTTTCTTTGTCTTCTAATCTGTTTGATGGCTGGAGAGATGGCTGATGGTGTTTCCGGTGAAAATGACATGGTGGCCGGCGGTGTTATCCGGCAAGAATGGCAGGTGGGCGGCGATGTAATAATAGTGGGGAAGAAGAAAACGAGAGAGAGAGAGAGAGAGAGAGAGAGAGAGAGAGAGAGAGAGAGAGAGAGAGAAAGATTTATTTTTATTTTTATTTTCTTGTTTTTTTAATTTGAAAAACATAAACAAATAATAAAAAAGAGAAAATCATATTAATAGGGGCAAATCCGTCATTTTGAAAAAAATCAGAACAGATTTGACCAAAAACGCAACAAAATGAAAGTTTTGGACCACTGGTGCTAGTCCAAACCTTTTTAGACCAAAGTGACAATTTTGAGCAAACCACAGGGACCATTTGTGCAGTTTAGTCTTATCTTAAATAGGTAGGAAGAAAATTAGGAACAAAAGATAGACGGATATTTAATTTCTCTAAAATCAAACCAGTCCCGAAGACCTAAATAATACACGGTTTACATATATACATTATTAATTACACTAAAAATTTTACTTTCGGATATTATTAAAAATAATAAACATTGTAATATATGCATTGACAATTTCGAAACAATACACCGTTTTTTAAACACAACTAAAACCCGGGTTCTTTTTCACTCCCCTCACCTTCATCAACTCCCTAATCTCATCCACTTCACACCACTTCCCAGCTTCCGCATACATATTCGAAACCAAAGTATAATACCCCGAATGACCCGGTTTTAACCTAAACAAATTCTCACCTGCCCACCGACCCAACTCAATATCCCCATGGATCCGACACCCGCCAAGCAAAGACCCCCACACATTCGCATCCGGTTCCACCCCCATCCCATTTATCATCTCCACCGCCTCCTCCAACAACCCGGCCCGCCCAAAAATATCAACCATACACGCATAATGCACTTGTGTCACTTCAATCTTGTCCTCTTTCATCTCCTTGAAATATTTCCTCCCTAATTCAACTAACCCTCCATGGCTACAAACCGATAAAACCGCTATGTAACTAATCGAGTCACGTCTCACATGATCATCATCTCCCATGGATTCAAATAAACCGATTGCAGTGTCAATCTCGCCACGCATTCCGTACCCCATGATCATCGTGTTCCATGAGGCCGTATCCTTGTTGGGTATCCGATCGAATACCTTTTTAGCAAGATCGATGCGTCCGCATTTCGCGTAAAGATCCAAGATCGAGTTGGAAACAATGAGGGAATGCAGCTGTTTAGCAGTAAGGAGGTGGGAATCTATAAGTGAGGTGTCAGAAGACATTAAGTTTGAGACCGGTTGGTGGGTGGGACCCATGAGTGGTGTGTACCCTTTTTTTAAACAAACCCCATGAATCTCCTTACCTTTCTTGATTTCTACCATATTAGCACAAGCCGAAAGTGCTCCGGAAAAAGACACAGTGTCATATTCCATATCTTTTAACCCTAATTCGCGAAACAAAATCAAAGACTCGAAAGACGTGTTTGTATGAGAATAAGCCGATATGAGTGTGTTATACGAAATTCTATCTTTATATGACATGTTGAAGACGTTTCTTGCAAGATCTAAACAACCACATTTTGCATACATGTCAATAAGTGCATTCCATATGAATATTTGAAAGTCAGACCCCTTTCGGATTGACTTACAATGTATCTGTTTTCCATGGGATAAATGACCAATTCGTGCACAAGCGGGAAGAATGTTTGTTAAGGTTACGGGTCCCGGGACTATGCCATGAGCTTGCATTTCTCTTAAAGTTTGTAAAGCTAACAATTCGGATCCGTTTTGAGCATAATTAGCTATCATTGTGTTCCATGATACGATATTTTTGGAGTGAATATTGTTGAAAATGTTTGATGCTTTAATGGGATACCCGAATTTTGCATACATGTCTAGTAAAGAATTGGCTACAAATATATCGGATTCGATACCGGTTCTTATACTAAAACCATGAAGCTCGATTCCCCATTGAAGGCATTCAAGTTCGACTATGATAGGCAGGATGCTAGAAATAGCAACAGAGTTTGGTGTGATAGATTTGTTGATCATGTATTGGAAGAAAAGTACGGCGTCTTGATGATGATCTGTGTGAGCAAAACTTGTGATGACAGCATTCCAAGAAACATGATTTCTATCCACCATTTCGTTGAAAACTTGCTTACAAGCTTTTAAATTTCCACATTTCCCATATGCATCGATGAAAGCATTGTTTATTTTAATGTGATGATTGAATCCCATCTTGATGACATAACTATGAATCTCGCTTGTAATTGAAGAGTCCTCAATGGCTGCACACACAGGTAACAAGCTGACAATGGTGGCTACATTTGGGCTAACTTCAGAACAGAGTGGTTGCAATTTCATGTCCCTAAACAAGGCAATTGCTTTATTGTAAGAAAACTTGATTGAACATACTGTGATAAGAGTGTTCCATGACACTACGTCTCTCTCAGGCATTTCATCGAACACTTTCTCTGCATCATTTACGCTACTACATTCACCATAAAATCTCAGAAGGGTGTTCCCAACAAATACATCAGAATCAAAACCCAGTTTGCAAACCAACCCATGAACCTCTTGTCCCTTCCAAACCTCGTGATAATCCGAACAACCTTTTAGAACAAATGGGAAAGAATGATCATCCGGCCTGACACCATTACGGATCATCAGGTTATAAATTTGAAACGCATCGTAAACTCCGGCAATGCTGTAAGCTCGCGTGATCGTGTTCCACAAGAAAGCAGAGCGAGAGTAGGGGAGTGATTGGTGAAACAGAAGGCGGGATGTTGATGGGTCTCCGAATGTGGCGTACTGGAGGATGAGAGAAGCGGAGACGGAAATGCTGTTTGGGAGGTAGCCATTCAGGAGGGCAATCGCGTGGGATTGCTTGGTTTGTTGGAGTGATTTTGCGGAGGCGCAGAGTGGGAGGATGGTGCGATGGCATTGCTGTGGGATTGTGGAAAAAGATTGTGCTTTTTGGGCATTCTGCAATTGTTTAAGTTCGCCAGATAATATGGAGTATCGCCTGACAATGGTGTTGCAGGGATAGTAGGACATAGAACCGCTGTTCTCGCATGGAGAGAGAGAACAAAAAATTTAACGGAGAGAGAATTTGATGTTAACAATGCTTTTATATGGATACCTTTACCAAGATGCTTAAGGTTACTTTTCTTGATACAACTGTAAGATGTCCTCGGGAATTCAAAACAAAACTTTGGATGGGGTTGTATAGAAAGTCTAAAATGAAGGTTTTTCACTGTTTTTATCCCTGAACCATTTGAAAAGATGTTTTATCATTTTCATTTCTTTTTTTTTTTCTTTTTTTTAAATTTATATTAATATCTTTTTTATTAAAAAAAAAAAAGACAAAACCGCAATAGTGGTCATTATGGTATGTATTTTTTTTAGGTTTGGTCCAAACTTCGATTTTTTTGGATTAGTGGTTCTTTTGGCCTAGTTTCGATGCATTTTAGTCCATCGGTAAACTCAAATGACTGTAATGCCCCTCATTTATTTATTTTTCATTTTTTCTTTTAATTTTTAAATTTAATATATATTTATCTATTTTAATAATTAATAAATAAAGAGAGGACCCACCTCTCTCTCTCTCTCTCACACACACACACATCAAAAAGACGTCGGTTTCAACGACTTCATTCGAGCAAATCCCATGTCTGACAAATTCTCCGAAGCCATATTGAGTTTTGGTGCTTCGAAACCACCAACACCGCCCGACGTTTCTCATGGTGCCTTGTCATGCCCATCGTTCAGAACTCCGATCTACCTACCTCCTCCGCTCTGACCAACTCAACTTCCTCTCCGTTGCTCCTTATACCCCCTCCATCTCCTCGTCCGCCATCACTTCTATCCCAACCTTTTCCCATATTGACTGCCAAAATTGTTTTCTCTGTCATCGTCTCTCACTACGTTTTTCCCTCTTCTGCCCTAATCACCCTTAGAAATAACAACATCATACTCTTTGAATTTGAAGAATCGAGTCGGAGATGTATTGACAGATGAACAAATTAAGGAGTGCGAGGAGTTGGGAATATTAGTCGATAGAGATGATCAGTGGACTCTACTTTAGATGTTCACGAAGCCTGTAGGTGACATGTATGCCCTTTATCATCAATGCTCTTGAACTCGTCAATTTTATTGAATTCATTATCATCAGAACCAATAATACATAACCCTAACTTTCATATTGATCAATTCCCAAAATTTGTGATTGTTGTTTGTAAATATATGAGTAGGCCAACCATATTCATCAAGAAAATTCAACGAATTGGGTGAATGTTGAAAGATGATGAAGGCAAAGTGCAACAGAAGGCAAGGTGTGAAGGATTTGGCAAAGGGAACTTCTAATTACTACTACTTTATAACGTATGATCTTGAAGAAGAGAAATTAGGTACTGGATTGAATTGACAACGGATTTGATGAAGTCGATGATGGAGGAGGTGTCGTCGTCGTCTTCGGAGTCAACTGAGGTTGACAGTGGGGGTGGGTTGCCGATGTGTGTTTAAAATGGGTGTGTGTGCGTTTTGATTTTGTGGTATACGCTCTTGGGTATGTGTGTGATCGAGTTAAAAGTGGGTGTGTGTTTGTGTGTGTTTTGAGTTGTAGTTATGTGTGTGTGTGTTTTTTTGAGTTGCATGTATGCTTTTATATGTGTTGAGGTATATGTATGTATCTTTGAAGTGTTTGTTTAAGCTTCAATGTGTTTCAACAGGGAAGAAGATGAAGTATGTGTGTGCATGTGTGAATGAGAGAGAGAGAGAGAGAGAGAGGAGAGAGAATAGAGAGAGTACAGTGGGGTGGGTGGTGGCTCCTATTATTTTTTTTTTCTTTTTTCTTAAATCAAAATAACATTAAAATAATTCTAGAAAAAAGAAATTTAAAGGGCATAATCGTCTTTCAAGTTGTTGAGGGACCAAAAACATGGAAAAACCTTGATTTTGGACCTTCTATGCAAGTGGGAAAGTGTTTGGACCACATCCAAAATTTTTTAAATATCACAGGGACCAATCTTGCACTTTTGTCCTTTTATAAAGATGATGGGCTTAAGCATGCCCCACCAAAAAAAAACCTCATATTTAGTTAGATTTGGGTTTACTCGGAGTAAAATACATGATTATTCTATGCTTACATAATCAAAAAGGTAAAGGTGTTGTATTCTTGGGTTATGTGCATGATATTGTACTCCCGATAATTGTGAATAGGAAATAATGGCTTTGAAAATGTTTTCTTAAAATTAATCAAGGAATCATGACATTTAAAATACTCTCTTTGATATTTTGTTAATGTGATTCAAAATTTGGTGACTCGAAAAGAAGTATAGAAATTTGATATTATATATCCGACGGGACAAGTGCCTCAAGTAGGTTTACGTGATAGGTCTTAAGTCGTATACGACAAACACTTAGGACATGTTCCTTTATTTTGGATTTCATTGTATATGCGATCGGTTCTACAGTTGTTAGGATTTTATAGTTATAAATATTCGTCTTGGGAGGTTGAAAGTTGATAAAATGATGACAATAATTCAAGGAGGAATTCATCTAGAGATATCCATGGATAATTACAAAATAAACTTGGATGCTAGTCCTATTTGCTCTAATGAAGCTATTAAACCTTTAAGAACAAAATCAAGAAATAATTAAGAAAGAAAGGAAGAAGAAAAACTTGCTTTAAGCTTATCCTCATAAGTCTTTATCTCATGGGTTCTATGTTTCATCATGACAACTAGACATGCTTCTAAAGCATGACATAAGCATTATTCTAATCAAAAGATAACTTTTCTTATCCCTAGCTCAATTCTCGGTTTGTATATATAAAAGAAGTAGAATTTTAATAACTCTTATATCTTTTATAAGTTATAAAGCCACATGTATACGTATAACACAAAACCCTCTTTTGGTCCAAAAAGATATATATGATATTATAAATCATACCTTATGATATATTTTGATATTTTATACTGAAAATTAATATTTTTTATTAAATAAATAATTTCTAGTTAGCTACAAGAATTATAAATATTGATTAAGATAAAATATTGATAAATATTCATTGGCGTTTGTTTGTTATTGGTGTGGATATGTTATTAGAAAATATCATTATATAATGATTCGTAAGCATATAGATTTTTCATATAATAACAGGAAATTGAATGAATATTAATATCATATCAAGAAAAGTAAAAGTAGAATAAAATAATCATGGACTATGTTATGAAATTACATATTGGTATGTTGTCTGTTTCACTGTGATTGTTTAATGTTCTTAGCATAAATGTTTATCGTGGGGATTCCTGAAAGTTGGGCATATCTCCATGGAAGTTAAATTTAAGTCTTAAAGATGCCATGAAGTTGGACATATATTCATGGACGTTAAATCAAAGTGGTGGGGATGCATGGAAGTTGGGTATATCTCCATGGAAGTGTAACATCCCAAAATTTCCAATAAATTTAAACTTTTTAAATAAAATAAATCTTCCATTTAATATCTTTTATTTAAAATAAATTTAAAACCAAAACCCAAGATCAATTCAATTTCCAAAACCATTATCAGTTATAATTCTAAAATTTATGAAAAACAAATTCAATTCATTATCAAAATTTCAATATCTTGCATCGAGCCAGTGTGTACAATCATGTCCGACCATCTTGTGTACCTGAAATAGTATTTTTAAAGGGAAAATGGGTAAGCACAAAGCTTAGTGAATTCCACACATATACAATATCATATCATAAAATCCTTACCTCTATACACAGATATAAACAGTATCAAACACATAACCATGCATGCATGTCAAATACCGAATCAGTAATGGACATACTCTACTGGGACACATTGGCTAGGCCCGATCTCCCTTGCTCAGTACATCGAGCCCTTAGGACAAATTTGCAAAGCTCGATCCCCCGTACCCAAACCCATTTGGGACACATTGGCCATGCCTGATCCCCCTTGCTCAGTTCGTCGAGCGTTTTGGGATACATTGGCTACACCCGATCCCCACTCGGATACGCCAAGTCCTACCATGTATAATCCTCAATACGTGAGACAAACCACTAGACTCTACCCTACCTAGTAATACTCACATAAATAATACAATACATAGCACACACGAGTTAATGTAAAGAAGATGTACATAACACAACACGATGTAGTGAATAACTCACCTCCAAAAGCATCACAATATCCAAAGAAAATCGGGACTCACTCACACCTTCTTGTCCTTCATACTTCCTAATAATAATGATTTAAATTAAGTTTAGTTACTTATTTGCCCTAATTATGCAAATAGACTAAGGGGTTAAATTTCAAATTTCCACATAAAAAAATCAGGGTCTGTTCGTGACCTCTTTTTCCCAACTTAAACTCTATATTTTTTTAAAAATTTATTACATGAAGATATATCAGGTCCTTAGCTTTAAAAGTAGTACTTGCACACCCCCATAAGATTCTTCTACGATATATGGTGAATTTTACAAAACTGCCTCACATAACAGCTCATTCCGGACTAGGGCTGCAAACGAGCCGAGCCGAGCTCGAGCCTGACCAGGCTCGGGCTTGGCTCGTTTAACTATTTATCGGCTTGAGCTCGAGCTCGGCTCGTTCGAACCTTGTGGTACAAAGCTCGAGATCGGCTCGTTAAGAATTGTACGGGCTCGGGCTTGGTTTGGGCTCGGCTCGTATACGGTATACTCTAATTTCCTAAAATGGTATTTATTAAATTATTATTTATTTTAATATATAAAAATAAAAATAAATTTTTTTATTATATATATATATATATATATATATGTAGGCTCGTGAGCCTAATCGAGCCAAGTAATAGAGGCTCGAGCTCGAGCTCGTTTAATAAACAAGCCTAATATTAAGCTCGAGCTCGGCTCGGGCTTGTTTAAAATCGATCTCGAGTCGAGCTTTTAACGATTTGATCTTGAGTAGCTCACGAGTAGCTTGGCTCGTTTGCACCCCTATTCCGGACCAGTATGGGTAAATGGTCGATTTTACCCTGGGTAAATGGTTGATTTTACCCCTGGTAGAGGCA